CCCCCCCCCCCCCCCAACGCCGAGGGTTTAGGACCGCGCGCTTAGAACCCCCCCCCCCCCCCCCCCCGGCTTTGAACGGATCCCGGTTCCCCCGGCCCCGGTTCCCCCTCCTTCCCACCGCTTGCGCGCGCCCGGCGCAGGCGAGTCTGCGCGGGTGCTGGGGTGCGGACCCGCCTTCCCGCGCAGTGCATCGAGCGGTGGTGCGAGCGGAAGAGGCGCTCGCCCGTCCTCGCCTGCCCCACCTGCACCCTCGAGGTGCTCGAGCCGAGCGACGACACCGAGGAGGAGCACCCCGCCTCGGCGCAGCGGATCGCGTGGGTGCGAGAGATCCGGCGAGAAAACCCGGAGGGCCTCTTCTGACGGGACCCAGTTAGCCGCATGGCGTAGGGACGGGCAGGGGGGAGGGGGGGGGGGGGGGGGGCGTGGCCGGTGATATATGTACGTGGCACGTGGGTGTCGTCTGTCGTGCGGATGCCGCTCCGAGGGGTGCAGGGTGTGCGTGCGCGGCTGTGCCTGTGGCCTGCGGCGCGCCGTCTCTTTCTCGTATCGTCGGTCTGCGTTGGAAAGAGGGATGTGTGGCCGCATGGCCGTGTGTGTCGACCGGTGACCGGTCGGGCGAGTTTAAGGTACACTAGGCATAGAGGCATGGCCATGCGCAACGTCCTGTCCAACGACGACGTGCGAGCGCTCTCTCACAGTCACACAAGTGACAAGAGAGAAGTCGCGCTCTCTCAGTCTCACTCTCGCCAACAGGAATGCAGCGCGGGTGGAGAGAGGTAGACGAGATGCGAAGGGCGAGTGGACACCGGAGTCGCCGGTGGACGGCGGGAAGCGGAGGGCTCAAGAGGGACAGCAAGCCAAGAGAGCAAGAGGAGGACAGGAATGTGGCTCCCTCTTTGGGCGCGTGTCCTGTTTCGTGTGCGTGCGTGTGCGCGTAGACCCCGGGCGACTCGCCATCCTCCCCGCGAGCGACCCTCCCCCTCGGCGCCAGGCCCTCTGTACGCAGCTCGTAGCTCGATCCCCGGTATCATCGCCCGCCCTTGTCCGACTTTGCCTGGCGGAGCGCTCGCTCGCGCTTCTCGTACTGCCGCCGCAGCTTAGCCATGTCGCGCTCTAGGTTCGCGCCCAGCGCGCTCAGCTCCTCGTCGATGCCCGCGAGACTCAGGTGCGAAAAGTCGTACTTCTTGCTCGCAGCCTCCTTCGCGGCCCGCCCGTTTGCGCCGCCGCCGAGGTCCCCCGCCCCGTCGCCCGACGGCGACGCCGGCACGCTCCCCGCCGCGCCACCTCTGCCCGCGCCGCCGCCGCCGCCGCCCGCCGCCGAGCCCGCCGCCGCGCCGCCGCCCATGCCGATGGCTGACTGGAACTGGCGCATGAAGCCTGGCACCGAAGCGGGCGCGGGCGCGGCGGAGTTGAGGACGACGGTGCCGCTGCTGCTGCTGGAGGGGGAGGGGTGGCGGAAGATCATCGTGCCCGCGTCGCCGCCCCCCCCCGCCGCCTCCGCCGACTCCTTGACCACCATCGTGCCGTACGCGGCGCTCGCGTCGACCGTGCCAGAGCCGCCGAGCCGGCCGGCGACCTTGCGGAGGGCGTCACACGTGTGACATGCAATCATTCACAAGAGGCGGCTTCTGTCTCATAATCATCACCTTGCGGATGGCGTCCATGTCGAACTCCTGCGTGTCGCCCCGCTTGAGCGTGCCCGGCTCGTCCTCCTCCAGCGAGCCCGACGCCTCGAGCGCCTGCTTGCGCCACGCCGCCAGCGCCTCGCTCGCGCTCTCCATCAGCTGCTTGAGGACGGCGCCGCTGACCGCCTTGCGCCCCTCCCGGATGAAGGCGTGCTGTAGCAGCTCGGTGGCGGTGGGCCGCTTCTCGACCTCCTTGGTGAGGCAGCGGCCCACAAAGTCGCGGAACGCCGCCGACCACTTCTCTGGCTCGGCGAGCTGCGGCGGCGGCTGCGTCGGGATAAGGAAGATGGCGCGCATCGGGTGCAGGTTCGAATTTGGCGGCGAGCCCTCGGCGAGCTCGATGGCGGTGATGCCGAGCGACCAGACGTCCGCCTTGGAGTTGTAGCCCGCCTCCGGCCCCGGCGAGGAGATCACCTCGGGCGCCATCCAGAAGGGCGTGCCGATCACCGTCCCGCGCCGCGAGATGGACGTGTTGAGCTGCGCCGAGACGCCGAAGTCGGCGAGCTTGACCGTGCCATCCTCGGTGAGGAGCAGGTTGCCCGCCTTGATGTCGCGGTGGATCTTGTTCAGGCTGTGCAGGTACGACAGCCCCGCCAGCGTCTCGGCCAGCACGGCGCCAATCTGCCTCTCCGTCAGGCAGCGCGAGCGCGCCTCCATCACGTCGCACAGCGACGATCCCGCACAAAACTCCATGACGATCCAGAGCTCGGAGCCACGTGTGAAGGAGGAGTAGTAGCGCACAATGTTGTCGGACGCGCATGCCTTGAGCATCTCGATCTCGCGCGCCACTTCACCCGTGTCCTGCTCCACCGGGACGACCTTGACGGCCACGGCGCGGCCCGTCTTGATCTCGAGTGCCTTGTACACCTTGCCAAACGAACCCTCACCAAGCTTCTCCTGCAACTGGTAGCCCTCAATCCCGGCCTCCGCCATCGAACCACTCGCGGCGCGCAATAAGAGCGCCTTGACCGAAAAAGATTTTTCGCTTTACCTAGAATACGCCTGTGGTGTGCACCGTGTGGCACCCCTACCTGTTGTCTCACCCTGGCTCCCAAGATCGTTTTGGTCGTCACGTTGTGACCCCCGACGTCGTCAAATGTCGCTCGCCTGTCCTTTCCCCCATTCTCATCTGGCAATCTCATCTTATTATCCCATGGGTGTTTGAGGCTGGCTACGGCCACTTCGCTCCACAGCCGTCCCGCCATCCCTGCCGTGTGTGATCCCGGCCTTACTGTCTTTCGATATTGCTCGCACACCCACTCGTGCGCGCTCTTACACATGTGTCCGTACGTCCGTCGGTCCACTATCTCCCTCTTCTCCGGGTCCTCTGCCGCCTCCCTTCTCACTGTGTACATGCATGTTCTAGTTCGTACCGCGTCCCGCACCACGTTTGAGGCGTCCTCCGTGTCGTTATTTCCGAGGTGTGCTGTCGCCACCGCGTCGGCGTATGCGTTGCAGGCCTTGACCGAAAAAATAACGCACGTGTCCTCAGCGGAGCTGGGAAGAGGACCGCCGCAAGCGGCGTGGCGTGGAGCGGTTGTGCATCCCTCCGGGGCCCCCTCTGCGCGCCGGGGAGGCGTTGTTGGAGGCTAGGACGCAAGCGTCCGTCGCCCTTTTCAAACTCGGGGCCCACTCCGCTACGCTCCGACCCGAATTTGGAGGGCCTAAAAGTTTAAGGTGTTGCTGCGCAAAAGGGGTCGGACACCGGGCGCAGCTCATGCTAAGAGCTAGAAGAGGAGATAGAGAGAACAACCACCCTGTCCCGTTATTGCGTACACCAACACCACAAAAGCTCTCTCTCTCCTGTCCTCACTCAGGGGGGTCACAACTACCAAGTCCCTCGACTAGCTGCCACAGGGCGCAGCTGCCACAGGGCGCAGCTGGAGACGCTCTCCCTCAATCGGCATCCACCCCCACCCGCTCCAGCCCCACTTCTGCTGCCGAGAGAGCTGAATCGAAGCAAGCGAGCCATTGCATCTTGGCCACGAGCACGGCGGAGTCGGCGTCGTAGCGCGCATCGTTCCCGCTCATCGCCCATTCCTCCCGTGACGTGTGTCGGCCGCGATTCGATGTCGCCACCTTCATCGCCAACGAGGACTCCCTCGACTGCAGGGGGGCTCCGGCGCGGGGAGGGACTCCGCCTGCTGCACTGGCCGACTGCGCCCTCCTCCTCCATGGGATCGATCCGATTCCGCAGCGGCGGTGCTGCGCGGGAGGCGGCCGCGGGCACGCTGGGCTCGATCAGCGGCTTTCCCCTCAGCGCTCAGGTAGCGCGACGCACGGATTTGGCGGATTCTTGGCTTCAATTTTACGAATGTCTTGGCACCAGCTGAAGGCTTGCCCCCGTCCACGGCGCAGATCGCCCAGTTCGTGCACGGTATTCGGATTTTGGCTATTTGCTCGTGTGGGGGTATATTGCAGATTTGTCAATGGTACCGCGTCTGCGACGCGGGCGCCTTGCGGGCAGAGCCCTTAGGACACCCTTTTATCTTGCGCGGTCATAATTTTATATCGAATAGTGTCACAAGTGCGCTCGCGGATTACAAGTGCTCGTCACACCAGGAGGCTCGTACCCTCAGCCCTCACGCCTCAGGGACGCGACCAAGTCGGATATCTTCAAGACGTACGAGCGGAGACTAGCACCACACTCCTCTTAAAATCCCTGTTTCGTTTCGGGTGTGTGTGAGGTTGGGAGGGTGAGGTTGTGCTCGTGCACTTTGGGTGAGGTTGTCGGAGTGAGTTAGTTAGGTTGTCGGACCTCACCCGAGAAGGTTAGGACTTAGGGTTAGGTCGGATGCTCGGATCCCTCGTCGCCCCGGGACAACCTGTGTACCTAACCCTGAGGGAGGGTGTAGAGGATGTAGAGTGTAGAGCGCTCGCTCGCTGAGAGCTGTAGAGCTGTAGAGCGCTCTGGAGCGCTGTAGAAGAGCGGCTGTAGAGCTCTACATCCGGCGCGTGACGATGAGAGTCGCCTGTAAAGCGATGTAGAGGCGCTCTACAACGTGAAATCTCTACAACAAACTCTACATCATAAGCGAACGAGGCACGGTCGCTCTCCGACATGAGGCGCGTTGCACTTGCCAGTGCTGCCCTGGCCTTCTGTCTGCCCGCCCAATGGGTGGCAGGTGCCTCTGCTGCTGTGGCATGCCTCACGGCTGCGACTGGCTGGCGCCTCGGCGCGTCAGCTCGGCTCGGCGTAGCGATAGTGGGGCCGTCCCGTTTTGATCTCTCGGTCAGTGGGGGGCCGAGCAGCCTCGGGGTGGCGGGCGGGCGGGCGTGTTGAAAAACAGAAAACAGAAAACAAGAGGGGGCCGGGGGCCCAGGCCCCCCACTGGGAGTAGAAAATACGCCCCAAGGGGGCCAAGGAGGCAAGGAGGCGGCGCGGGGAAGCAGCATCAGGTGAGAGCAGGAAGGATGGCGCTTAGGGTCGGCTTTGAACAAGGGTTTCCAGGTTTTCAGTATTGGTGTCGGCACACATCCCCACATGAGGTCAGCGGTGCGCAGTGCTTCTCTCGCAGGCCGATTTTGGCTCTTTTCGAGCTTGTTTTTGTTTTCAGTGTAGGGGGCCCGACATCCCGACCCCCTCCCTCAGAGGCGGCGGGCTGGCGCCCACTGACCGAGAGATCAAAACGGGACGGCCTGGCCAGCGCAACTCGCCTGGACTCAACGCTCAGCCAGCTCCCGCACGCGCTGGCGCGAGCCCATGGCGCATGCAACACGTCTGAATGCTCGCCTCGCCTCGCGCGAATGCGACCGTCCTCGCAGCCGACAGTCTACCGCCTGCTAAAGAAGCACTGCGATGAATGCAGCACCGGCGACGCATGGCAGGCTGGTCATGACGCAGTCAACATAAGGGTGTTGTATGCCGTCAGAGGGACTCTCTGTGTGTCAGTGATCATCAGAGCTCCAGTAAGCTCGGAGACAAAGGGTTAGTGCGGCTCGACCTCTTTGAGTCACTGTGCCTTCCACCACGGTTTTGCTGTAGAGCCTCTACAACAAACAGTCAGTCAGTCAGTCTTACACACCTCCTAGCATGGAGGACGGGCCACACGCACACACGCTGCACACGATTGGCTCGGGAGCCGACACGAGGCACGCTGCGGTCACCGCGGCCGTACGGTGCACTGGGTCCGGACTGCTGGACGCACAACACACAGCTCACAGTACAGCTCACGAGGTGGCGCTATATAGTGGGGTTCGCGGGGACTGGCGCAGGAGAAGAAGGTGGAGCACAGGGACAGGGACACAAAACTCACGAACTGACATCCCACCCCGCGCCGGGGGCGGTGGCGCGCGCCGCGCCGGGATCTTTGGACCCGCAGTCTGGCAGCTGCCAGACCATAGATCCGCCGGCAGAGCCTTGAGCCGCACGTCCGCGATCCGCGCCGGCTCTCAGAAGAGATCCGGCGCGGTGCTGACCGCGTCTTCGCAGCGGACCACCGAGTTCACTCGCAGCGGACCACCGAGTTCACGATTGATGTCCGAGGAGAAGCGGTGCAGCTGCGGCACGATGCGGTAGACGCACAATGCCGCACTGCGGTTTGCGGCACTCCTGCTGCAATGCGCGCGCGGTGGTGAGGAGAGTGCGAGCCCTTGAGCTGCTGGAGTCAGTCCATCGCCCGCGCATGCGCGCCGGCCTTGAGGTGGTTCCACCAGTAGCTCGACACCTCTGACCTGGAGAGGGGCCTTGGATGCCCAAGGTGGTCGTCCAGCCGCACAGCCGCTGCGACGGCTCGTGCTGCCCCTTGGTCGGGGAGACGGCCAAGCCAGCCGGCCAAAGAGGGCTCGCACACGCATGCTCTCGGCGCGAGCCGCCTCCAGCATCGCGCCGTACTCCGGGTGGTCCGCCCGCACGCCCCGTACGAAGAAAGCGAAGTCGTCGAGCCCCGCAGGTCGATCACAACTCGCGGCTTGCCCTTGTGCCACACCACGAAGGCTCGAGAGACGTAGTCGCAACGAGTCGCCCGACGCCACGCGCCTGTGCCGAGGCAGCGGTCGCGTTCCTGCGTCAGCCACGCTCGCTCGTTCGGCGAGAAGCTGCCCACGCCGTGGTGGAACGGGAGAGGTGGTCCCCTCTCGTTCCACGGCACGCGTACGCCCTCGCCGAGCCAGCGCAGCGTCTGCCGGCTCGCGCCGATGTCTCGCCAGGCGGAGAGCCTCGAGCGGACCCGATCGCGGTGTGTCTTGAGACCTGGTGGAACCCCCGAGCCGGTCAGCTCTCGGGGGCCTGGCGAAGAGGAGGTCGCGTCCACGCCCTGGCTGCCAGCCAGAGGCGCCGCGGGCCTCCTAGCCGCGCTCGCCGCCGCGAGCGCTGCCACCTCCGCCGCGGCCGCCGCCCCGGCGGCCGCCGCCGCGTCCGGAGACCCCGCCATCGCGCTGGCCACGGGCGTCGCCATCGCGCTGGCCACCGCCGCGCTGGCCGCTCCCGCCCCGCAGCGACGTCGCCGCTGCGGCGGTCGCCGCCGCCGCCGTTGCCGCCGCCGCCGCCGCTGCCGCCGCTGTCGCCGCCACCCCGCCGGCTGCTGCCGCTACTGTCGCGCCCACCTCCGCCACCGTCACCGCCGCCGCCGCCGCCCAGGCGGCCGAGCCGCTTGGACGCGCCGGGGGGCTTGGGCTTGAGCCGGGCAATGTCAGCGGCGGCGACCGCAGAGGCGGGTGTGGCGGCGGGACACGCGGGACTCGTGGAGCCGCTGTCCGAGCAGGGAGCGGGCGCCGCTCTGCGACCGCTCATTGCCGTAGAGTGGGTCGAACTCGGCCGCCTCGAGGGCGCCCTTCCCGACGGACTCGAGCTCGTCGAGGCGCTCCTGGCCGAAGGCGAGTATGGACCCGCGGCTTGCAGGCGCGCCGCTCGCACCTGCTCGTGCACGAGCCGTAGCGCCCTGCGGGCATCTCCGGGATCATCTCGCTCGTCGCCAATCGCGACCTCGAGCCGCTCGAGGTGCGTGTGCAGGTCGTACATGTACGAGAGGGAGGGAAGGAGGGTGCACACCTCCCGTTGGTTCGCGGCCCCGAGCTTGCGGTGCAGCTCTGCGTGCACGGTGTCGCCCGCCGCCGCTGGTGCGTAGTGCGAGGTCCGCAGCTGCAGTCCGCGCTTCCGCTCGAAGGGGTTGTCGCTGTCGTAGTCGCAGGCAAGCTTGTGGCCGCCGAACAGCTCGCCGACAGCATCGTCGCGACCGACGCCGCCGCCGAGGCGGGGGGGGCCGCGGTGACCGCCGCCGCCCACGTCGTCCTCCGACGAGTCGGCGTCGGAGTCTGGGGGGGTGGGAGGGTCGGGGCGCATCCGCTCGCGGTCCTTGGCCGCCTTGCCGCCCGCTCCGCCGCCGTCGCCGCCGCCACCGCCGCCACCCGGTGGGGGGTCTTCCCCGTCGGGCTGTGCGACGGGCTGGGCGGCTTGAGCCTCGAGCCGCTCGAGCCGCTTGCGAAGCACTCGTAGCTCCTCGGCCGAGTCCACAGGAGCGGGAGGCGCGGCTGGGGCCCCGTCGGTGCCCCCGCCAGCCTCCGAGGGGGGGGGCTCCGGCCCAGAGCCATCTTTTGCCTCTGCGGGCCGTACGTCTTGGGAGAGAGACATATTTTTTTGTTCGCTTTGGCGCGGATTTGCCCATATCGTTGGGCGCACGGAGGGAAGGAGAGGTGGGCTCCTGCCCGAGAAGGTCGCGGGACCTGCGCAGAGCTCGCTCTGCGTGATGCCGCTCGAGCTTGGGCGTGCACGCAAGGGGTCGCACGCGCAAGCAAGAGGAAACAACTGGGAAGTTCACAGCTGAGCTTACCCAGAGAACGTTCTCACCCATACTAGTAACCAAAAAAGCACGATTCTGAAGTTGGGCCCTCAGTCAGTCTTCCCTCGCCGAATCTCGCAGCAACCTCATGGTCATGCCACCTCCTCGCGGTCGTCCCACTCTCGTCGTTCTCTCTCCTGCCCCGTCGCCCTCTTCCTCGTCGCTCGGCCTCACTGAATTCTTTTTCCTTAAATTCTTTTTCCTTAGGATGTTCCACATGCCGGCGCGCCGGTCGGCGCTGCTTGTCGTACTGTCTGTTTATCCCGTGGTCGGCGCTTTATTTACGGCCTCGTGCGCAAGGCCGGTGATCTCGGCCACTGCAGCCAACGCGCAGCGGCCGAAGCTCGGCGTCCTCGGCACGGTGAAGCGACACACCGGTGTGGTTGCGACGGCTGCGGAGCCACACAGCACACCGAGTTTGCTGGCAAAGCTCATAGCGTTGGCCAAGAACAACAAGTCGAATGCCACGACGGCGGCCGTCATCGCAGTACTCTTCCTACTCACTGGACTTGCCGAGATCGGAGGCGGCTGGCTCGTCTGGCAAGCTGTGCGCGAGGGAAAGCCCTGGTGGTGGGCGCTGCTGGGGTCACTGACGCTGGTCGTGTACGGTTTCATCCCAACGCTTCAGCCGCTCCCCGACTTTGGCCGGCTCTCTGCTGTGTACGGCGGGCTCTTCATCGCGATGAGCTACATCTGGGGCGTCCGCTTTGACGGACTCAAGACGGATCGAGGCGACGTTATTGGAAGCATTGTGGCTCTTGTGGGTGTGGGGATAGCGCTCCTCTGGCCAAGAGGCGGTCGGCCGGTGAAATGAGTCGGCGTTCGTCACTGCTCTGTGCGCATGTGCTAGAAAACAGGAGCTCTTGAGAGGCCGTCGTTTTTGCTTTTTCGCGGTACCGGATACCGCTTTTTTTCAGTTTAGTTTTTTATTTTTGTTCCGGCGCGTGTTGGGCTTCTCTCGCGACGCGACGATCCCGCGGCCGCCGCGCCGCCGCCGCGGGCCGCGCGCGCGCGCTCTCCGCCTCTCTCGCGTCGGTGTGTGCGGTCCTGACTCCTGTGTGACTCCGCGCGCAGTTGAGAGTTGTCAGATGTCAGCAGGCAGTAGACACAGTACTCAGTAGACCGGACCGCACAGCGCGCGGTAGAGCGAGTGACGGATAAAGTCTTGGAGTTGGCTATGATTTGCGAAAGATACATCGGTGTATCTCCACAGTGTGCTCCACTCTTCTGCGTGTATCTTCGGCGTGTATCTTCATTTTATACGGGGATTCGGGGGTGTATCTTCGAGTGTATCTTCGATTGTATCTTCGGTGAATCTTCGCCCGGACACGGCGTGACACGCCCCTCGCCGCCGGTTTCAATACAAAGAATAAAAAATAAGCGCCGGCGACGTTATCAGGCGCTAGGACCTGCGGCATCCTAAGTCAACTTTTTGAGAGGATCATTTTGGCTGAGCTATAACACCCGAGTTCATATGACAAATCTCGTGCTTCAACACACCGAGATACAGTCGAGATATGACCGAGATATTTTTAGAAAGTTATAGCTAAGCCAAACTGATCCTCTCAAAAAGTTGACTTAGGAAGCCGCAGTCCCCAGCGTCCGAGAGTGCCACCAGCGCTTATTTTTTTATTCTTCGTGGCCACGGCACGATTACTCATCACTCGCTCGGTACAGCGTGTGACCAAGCAAGGCGGCCTCGGTTGAAGCGGGGGTTGCCAAGGGCTCTGGTGCTGTGTCGGCGTACGACGAAAGATGAGGTTATTCAAATTCATATTTTCTATGATGGTTGCGACCCTATGGGCGTGCGCCCCGAGACGTTGCATGTGCATGTACATACATGTGCATGCAATAAATCTTAAATGCGGAAATGTGCCAGATAGATATCATAGAATTAGAATATAGAAACCGAGAAAACTCGCACACCCCAAGGCAAGTGCCAAGACGCGCAAGGGCTAGTTCCATTTCACTGTGGCACGGCTCGCGTTACAAAACCTTGATTTTGACCATTGCGCGAAAAAGGTACATCTCGGTGCCTTCCAGAGGCAGCTGCGACCCTCCGCCGCGTGGCACCCCTCTTTCCCCCTTTGTTGCGCCATTTCGTTCCCGTTTATTTCCCCGGCTTTCACCCGTTCGTTGGATTTCTGCTGAAACGCTAATCCCTCCATTATTTTCCCTGCGCTTATATCTTATTATGTCTTCTTTTTTCCGTACGTTCTTTTGTCCCATGGTTCTC